GGGTGCTAGCGTGATCCGCTCGAGTCACCGTGAAAAGGAAGTAAGCAGCCCTCTCGATAATGATGGGCTGGGGGTTGAATTGGGAGCGAGCAGCATTTGCAAGCGAGGTCAGATCCAGAGAGGGATGTTCTCTCTTGTAGATTTTGAACACGGTATCCTTATAGAACTCCGGAAGGGACGGGAAGTCCAAGGGGGGCTCTGGGCCTCCATGGTCAACCGTAGTACGGCGGGCGGCTGCGTTAGCGTAGCTCATTGAGGGCGCCGCCTGCGAGGACGACGCAGCGCTCGAGCTCGCCGCGGTGGCCTGGGAGCTGGGATGCTGTTGTTGAGAGAGGTTTGCACTCGAGCTCGGGGGAGCGAGGGCGGTGGAGGGGGCGGCGGCAGCAGGAGCGGCGGCAGGAGCCAGAAAATTGGTGATCAGCACTTGCTGCGGCGCGCGGGGTTGAGCGGTTGCGTCCAGGTCCGCTGGATGCGCGGCGTTGGCGGGACCGCCTGATGTGTCCATCGGGGAGGCCACGGCGCCAGGCATGGGGAAGAGAGGGGAGAGGAGAGGGAAGAGGGAGAGAGAGAAAGCAAAAGAAGAGAAAAAGAAAAAAAAAAAAAAGCAAAAGAAGGGAAGAAAGAGGACTCGCAAGTTCTTCCAATTCACACCGAACAGCCGCTCGCTCCACAGAGCTCGACATTTAACTCAGTCCACCCAACCAAAAGCCGCCGCCGACCACAGTACTACAAGCAAATACATATTTTCTACTGACAATCGAGGTCCAAACGCAGCAGTCACATGCCATAGCCAGCAAGAACGAGATCAACGCTGGGCCTCCCAATTGTCAACCTACGACCGCATTGCTTGACGATCAACCAGCATCCACCACCTCCGCCTTGTTGTTTCGAGTGCGCACCGCAATCATACACTTGAATCTAGCCCAAGGAAGGGAACCGCTTGTCGATTTTACATCATACACTGCAAACAACCATCATTCTCAGAACGATTGTCGCCGAGTCTCCAGCGCCTACGTGCGATTGAAGCCGGTATCCCGCTTGATTTCAAACGCTCGCTCAACCACCGTGTCCACACGATGCTCAGCCTCGCGCTTGGCTTCTTGTGCCTCGTACGACCCCGGTTTGGCGCCTTCGACCGTTCCAGCCTCAATGTCGCCGACGACTGCCGCGTTGTGCAGCGATGCGGAGACCTTGTTGCCCACTTCTTCGACCTTTTGCGAGACTGCCTCGCCCGCAGAGATGATGCGCTCCTTCACCGGGAGGTTGGAGTCTTTGGCCCGAATGGCCGCATTCTCGCCCTCGAGGTGCGCTTTGGCTGCACTGAATCGCTCGTGGAGCATGCTGTGAGCGGCTTGCACGGACTGCTGTTCGATAGGCATTGTAGTAGTTTGCCTTGTCTGCTTCTGTTTGTGGGAGATGCAGGTACACGGTACAAGCGGGGAGAGGATTGAGTTGTCAGCGTTCATTGCAATCCGAGCGTTGTTTCCGTTCCCTCACCCGCCAACCGCTTGTCAATCCTCGTCAACTCATGCGCACGCATCCTCCAACTCAACAGACCCCATCGAAACAACCGCCTAATAGCGGCCAGACGGCAAAACCGACAGCGCAATAAGGTCCATCCGAGACGCAAATGGAGTAGGAAGAGACGTAGCAAATACTCAGACATGTTGACAACGCACATTGACACAGTTGAATACGAGATTCAAAAAATAAAAAAGTGATTGCATGACAGCAAATAGAGTACGTTCTGCAGCGAGCTACAGTATTGAATGCGTATTTTGTACAATGAAGCACACAAGCGTCCATCAACGACGCAAACTCATTCACGTTTTACATTTTGTACAAGTACTGTCGCTCGACCTCAAACCCCCTTTCAGAGGGTAGGGTTGCTCGGGTAAGTCTGATTGGGGTAGGTCTGGTTCAAGTAGGGCTGCGCTGTCGGCTGAACGGTCGGCTGAACGGTCGGCTGGACGGTCGGCTGGGTTGCTGAGATGGTCTGAGTCACGGGCGGGGCTGTGTAGGGCTGGTTCAGGTAGGTCTGGGTCGACTGGGTGGTCGGCTGGGTTGTTGAGAAGGTCTGGGTCACGGGCGGGACGGTGTAGGGCTGGGTGACCTGATCGGCAAGGGTCTGGTTGGTCTGGATGGGCTGGCCGGCAGGAACACCGCGCTTCAACTCGAACGTGCGGTCGACCAGCTCGTCCATGCGGCGCTGTGTGTCGCGCTTGGCTTCCTGGGCCTCGATAGAGTTCTTGTCACGGACCTTGTCGGCGGCAACGTCCGCGACGGCAGCCTTTTCGTGGAGCTTGGCACCGACCTTGCTGCCCAACTCCTCGACCTTGCTGCCAATGGCATGGCCGACGGAGGAAATGCGCTCCTTTGCGGGCAGGTTGGAGTCCTTGGCACGGTCGACAGCCTGGGCAGACTCGAGGCTGGCCTTGGCGGCGTTGAAGCGGTCGTGGAGCATGGCGTCAGTGGAGGTGACGGTTTCGGAGAGAGGCTCGACTGGCATGGTTGAGTAGTGTATGTAGAGGGTTGTTGGATGTTTCGTATCAAAATCTGGGAGCAGAGAGGGAGCGCACAAACCAGTGAGGATAACCAAAAACAAAACCTTGCAAGAGCTGTTTTGTTGGGTTTTTTGCCAACAACCCGATTCTCTCTCTCTCTCTCTCTCCCTCCATCGCAGCATTTCTCCAATAAGAAGCAAAACATGTCGACACAAAACGCCCTTTGGCGCGATGTTTTGTTGTCGCGTTTGCCACATCCATTTCGACAAAGACAACAAACAAGACCCTAAATCTCAAAAAGCCCCTCAGAGCTGCACATCGACGGCGTACTCGAAATGAAAACTGGATCGTCGCCCCCAAAAGCGGACGCCGGTATTTGAACGCAGGGAAACGAAACGACACCAAACAACTGCGACGTGCAGTTGCCGTGCGCACAAAGTGTGCAAAATGTGCGTGGAAGCGAGGAAGAACGCACCATTTGAGGAAAATGAACGCAGCGCCGCTTGTCGGCGTTGTCTTCCCCATCCTGGTGATTCGACTGTTTGAACGCGGAACGCGTCTCGCCCGCCCCTAAACCACTGCATTTTTGCCACTGGCTGCCCACGCCATCTTGGGGGTACATAAGTGCCTGCATTCGGAATCAGCGCCCTGCAGTCCTTTTCCAGACTTGTATTTTTGCTTTTGGAACACACACAACGCTTTCTGCCTTGTAACAAACCTCATCATCGCAAGCACAAACAATGCCGCTCAATCCTACTACAACCGGTCGTGACGACGAGCAAATGGTCGGCTCGCAGCGCATGCCCCAAGGGTCCATCAACAAGGGCTTGACTGGACAAGAACGCTCGGGGTACACTGACACCGACGCGTCCCAGCAGCGCTACGGAGGTCAGCAGGGTGACCGCTACGGCCAAGACCAGAGCGGTAGCGATCGCTATGGCCAAGGCCAGCAAGGCTACGGCCAGCAAAGCCAGCAAGGCTACAACCAAGGCCAGCAAGGCCAGCAAGGCTACAACCAAGGCCAGCAAGGCTACAACCAACGTCAACAAGGCGGCGATCGCTACGGTGAAAGCCAAATTGGTGGCGAATTCAACCGCACCAACGAGTCTGAGCGTACTACGACTCGCTCGACTGACCAGACATCCAGCCGCTTCACTTCAGACGTCGGCGGTGGCAGCAGCGACCGCTGCGGCATGCCTGATCGCTCAGGCATGTCAGACCGCTCTGGCATGTCGTCGGATCGCGTTGGTGACGATCGGATGGGCGGCCGCGTGAACGAGCAAGCGAGCGACCAGGGCGGCATCTTCGGTCGTGTCGGCGCGGGCATTTCCAACGTCGGCAACTCGCTGAGCGACACTGGCAACAAGATTGGCGGAATGTTTGGCAGCACCAACACGCCCAGCACTGGCAGTGGTCTGAGCGGAGGCCAGCGGCGTTTGTGAAATCATTCTTCGTTCTGCTGTGGCGTCGAATCATCAAAGCTGGCCGTCGTGTGTTCGCGCGAAGGCGTGAGCGGGTTCGGCGTCGTCGGGATGCTCGTCAACAACAACGCGAGATGCAACAAAGGCAAGCTGCCGCACCCGTGCCTGCCATGTGAGCAGCGTTTGTCCTTGGTTTCTTGTTTTGCTTTTCTTCTTCTTCTTCTTCCTCTGCTTCTTCTTCTTCTTCTGCTTCTCCTCCCTTCTTTCCTTGCTGTCTCGCTGCTGTTGGCTCGGGAACAGTTCATTGCATTGGCTGACAAATTAAACAAAAAAAAACCAATGTAAAGAAACAATAAAAACCACACCCAATGCACCATTCATTGCAGTACAGTACATGGCAACCTGGACTACTTTGACTTTGGTGGTTCTTGAATGGAGGCGAGGGCAGCCGTGCCCCAATCCAGCGCCAGGGACGCTCCTTGCTTCGCGATCGTCTCAAACGTCACGTCACGTCGCACCAACGCACCAAACAAGATCGACTGCATTCCAAAAGCGCGCGCGCGTGTGTGTGTGTGAACGACCATCATCTCCGAAAACACGCGACAGTCAACCCAATCAGAAACGAAAACTCACATGTGAATCGGAAAGAATCACTTCAATCGAAAAGCCATCGCCAGGACTGAATGAAATGGGCTTTGCCTGATTTGAAAAAAAAAAACAAACAAAAAAAAAAAAAAAGGCGAGCTGCTGTCAGCGTCCAAAACGCGCACACACACGCACACGCACACATGCACACACAACCCACCTTGCGAATGGTCACGATATCAGCAAGGTCAATTAGCAGCTTGTCCTTTTCGCTCGCCGACGAAAAAAACCCGCTGGCCGGATCAAAGCACAAATGCCGAGCCGTCAAGTACAACTTTCCTTGACGGTGACCCGTGTACTTTGATGCCTTGTTGAGCAAAGCGCATCGCCAATCTGCGGGGAAAAACCACATGCCAGCATTCGAAAAGATTGAGATGTTTGAAGGCATTCTTGCAAAATCTACGACTACAACTACTCACTACCAATCAGCTCCACGTTTTCAAAGCCAAACTGATCTCGGAGAAGCTGTAGGCCAAAGCAAAAGCATCGGGTGAAAAAATGTTGCGCTTTGCTGCTCACAAATCTTCTGCAAAGCCGCATCTTGACGCCTTACATGCTCTTTGCGGTGCTTCTTGGACTGCTTGAGCTCGGCTGCCTCGGCGTCCGCGCGCCCATCGAGGGAAATGCCATCTTCTGACATCAAGCTGGCAGCATCAGCAGCGATCGTGGCGCTGCGAGAGCCCGAGGCTCCGGTCGGGGCATGGATTGCCGCAACATCCGCCGCGCTGGGGAGAGCGGCAAACATGTTTGGCACCGTATCGTACTTGGCACGCAGCTTGGGGAACTTGCGGAACAGATGCTTGAGCACAAAGAGCTGAAGGCAAACGTTGGTTCCTACACACACCAAGGCGCGATCAGATAAACGGGGTGAAACACACACACACACAAAAAAGAACGTCGCGCGCTTGCCGACTTACCAACGAGAAAACCAATCCAGTAATCTGGAAGAACGAGCATGCCAATACCGCCGATGAGCAACATGTTGCGGAGCTTGCGTGTGACTGTTGGGTTTTTCCATGTGACAAGGCTGCAGCACGACAAACGTGAGCTCAACTGGCGAAAGTGGGAAAAACCATCGAAGTCTTGTGAGCAGAACATGGTCCGCCTTACTTGGCCAACTTTTCGAGGACGGTGGCAACATCGCCCAGCAAGTTCTGGACGCGGCGCGCAATCGAAAGCATCAACGTGACGCGATCGCGCATACTTGGGTCGGGCTCGCCACTGTCAAGTCAGAACATGCAACGCTTGATAAGAAGGCAACGAACAAGAAAAAAAACAAAACAAAGTGGGAACGAGCCAAGTCGTACCTGTGAACTGGTTCGTCAGTGTAGCCAAATGGCCGAAGTTTGGTGACGCCAGCCTCGAGGTAGTACATGTACGTCAGGAAGCCTGCCATGGCCAGCAGTAGCACTGGGATGAGAATTCCACTCAGCACCAGCAGCCACATTGTCTGAACGAAAAGCAAAAATAGAAAACCCCAAAATAAACAACAACAAACGGCAGCAAAAATTCAGGCTCAAGTAAAGCTCAACCACAACCAGCCAGATCCATCCATTGCTGAGGCACTTACGACACAAATGATGGCCGTCGCGGCAGGATTCGACCAGGTGAGAACATGCGAAACGAGGTCAATGGTAAACTTGATCGGTCGAAACGCTGCCCTAAACCGGGCCACGTTCAACTTGAGCAGCTTCATGCTCAGCACGTCCGGTTCGGCGGTGACCACCACCATGTCATCCTCCTGCTCTTCCTTGAGGTCGTCCAAGAAGATGCGCCACTTTTCTCAAAATTCACACAGAGTTCAAAACAACAACAACAACAAAGATCGAGTTAGAATTTGAGCACCATCATCCACTTTGACGAACGGGGTCGCTTTTTTCAGCAGCAAACATGTCGGAGCATGTCCGAGTGCATCAATCAGCTCGTCAGCAGCACTTTGACACTTTGGCACTTGATATTGATGAACGTGAAGTGTTGCTCAGAATTGTTTTCCCCCCAAATTTTCAATCCCAACGTCACCAATTTCAATACATCACAAAACAAAAAGCCTCTCCAACATTGTCCAACATTGCTCGTGGACGTGAGTCTCTATCGTTGTTACCTGTCCGATAATGTTGGCCTGCAGCTGTGCAACGCGGGCACTCAGCGTGAGCGACGACGGGCGTTTGGGTTGGGTCGAATCCGAGGCCGACGCGTCGAGCACACCCCTGCCGCCGACCGTGCTCGTCCTCGCGCGCTGTGCTGGCGAGTTTGGCTGTGCGGCTGCTTCCGATGAGGACAGAGCGACGGCCAGCTGGTTCTCCAGCTCGTGCGTGCGCTCCTTGAGCCGGGCGACCTCGTCCTCCATTGCCTGCTTGCCCATCATTGCATCGACCAACTGGTCCTCCAGCTGGGCCAGCTGCTGCTCAAAGATCTCATTCGACAGTCCCGCTGACGAACTGCGCTTGTCCGGCGCGGCATCACCAGTCCCACCACCAGCAGCAGACATTTTGAAGCAAAGTGGATTTGCAGAATGACTGAGACAGGCTCAGAGATACTATTATGTGTCAAAGTCGAGATCGCTAACAACCTCTACCAGGGTACAGGAAGAGAGAAACCTACTACAGAATGTTCAGATGAGAATACAATTGCTCTCTATTGATCCATGTACTGCCTTGGCGCATCAGCATGACAATCGTAAAGAACAACAACAATAAGACACAATTAAATTTAGCTGCCACACACATGGCAAACCAGAGATAAATGAACAAAGAACAAAAAAAAGGTGTTAAGTCGAGACAAGCAGTGTTTTCGGTTCGTGCGAACCAAACCCACCGCTGGAGTAGCTGCCGCCAGCGCCGTTCATGCGCGGAGTTGCACTATTGGCGCCCATACTGTTGGCGCTTGCGCTGACGCTTGGCCGTAGATACGGCTCGTACGCGTGATTGGAGCCGCCGTGCAGATACGACGACGATGACGACGACATGCCGACGGATGCTCCCGAGGAAGCCGTGGCGGCTGATGATGATGCCGATGAGGCCGCTGCTGCAGCCGCCGCGGCTGCTGTCACTGTTGGAAACCCACTCGCGCCATTCGAATTGTACTGCAGATGGCTGGCATAGTGCTGCTGTGCTTGCAATCCAAAGTTCGAGTCGGCCTTGAGCCCGTGCCAGACAGAGTAGGAGTGCTCTTGCCGATCAAGCATGGTGAGCGGAATGTCAGAGGATGGTGTTTGCGTGAGCAGTGCAGAGCTGATGGCGGCGGTGTCGGCATCCATGCGAAGCGTGGGCCCGTCGCTGCCTCCGCGCTTGTGGTGCGTCGGTAGCTTGCTGCTCGAGTCGCCCATGCCTTCGAGCTTGGCCTTGTTGTACAGACCGACGCCCAGAATGGCCAAGAACATGCCCAACACGTTTGCCCACGTGACTGGATTGCGGAAGGTAAACAAGCCCGCCGCAATGATGACAATGCGCTTGGAGTTGTTGGCGACAGAGTAGCTGACGGGCGAGACAATAAACAGGAGCGAGAAGGCTGTGATGCTCTGTGCAAAGTTACATAGACCGTCGATGGTGAGCTGGCCCAGCAGATACGGGACTGAGATGCCGGCAGCGTCGACCTCGGCGGTGCCGTGCATGAACGTGTCCTCGGCGTGGCCCGACGCGGCAATGAGCCGCTCCGACTCGGACGACGAGTACCAGTGCATGATGGCGCGTGCGTCCGTCACAAGCCAGATTGGCACGATAATCAAGCACGACACGAGCGACGTGTAGTAGAGCAGGTTGAAGTGATCAAACTTTTTTTCCTTGAAGAGCTTTTTCGAGTAAATGTTTTGCAGCGACAGAATCATCATGGAAAAGATGGCGGCGAGCATGCCGATAAAGTTGAACTCGAGCTCCGTCACGGTGGCCAGCAGAACGCCCAGAATGATGGGCACGAGCGAAATGTAGGTTTTCATCGAGTGTCGTTCCCGCAGGATGAGCACCGAGAAGATGACTGCGAAAATGGGTGCTATTGCTTTGACTGGGAGTGAGTTTGGGGGAAGGGAGGAAGAGGGAGGAAAGAATACACAACAAAAAACAAAAAGGTGAGTGCCAAAAGAACCAAAAAAAACTTTGTGCACCAACCGCAATGCAACGCACGTACTCGTATGCGCATAGGACACCGGAACGAGCCACAGGGAGACGTGGGAGGAGATGGAGGTGAGAATCTTGGCGAGGGAGAGGGGCAGGATGAGGCTGCGGTACTGCGACATGGAGATTGGCTGGCGGGGGTGCAGGCGGAAGACGTAGAGCGTCAGATACATGCAGAAGGTGATGACGAGCTGCTGCGTCATGGTGACGGTCGTCGGGAAGGGGAACTTCATGAGGACTGTCTTGCCAACGTTGTTGGTGAGGGCCGACGAGAGAAACCAGAGCACGCAGATGCCGACGACGTGCACGACCGTCTGCCGTGCGACTGCCGCGGTCTGTGCGTGAGATCCGCTCGCAGTGCCAATGCCCACCGCTGCATTGTGGCGGTCTAGCTTGGACTGTGAGGCGGACGTCGTGAGCTGGTGTGGAACTCCGTGGTCGATCATCTTCCTTTTGCGTTTCGGAGGCAAAACAGGCAGGTCCAGCAGAAGAGAGCAAACAAGAGGCGTGGGGTGTGTTGTTGGCAATGAAATGAGCTGCTGGTTCCAAGGCAAAGAGGGTGTGTGTGCGGTTGGTGGTTGGCGATAGATTCGGGTGGAGAACTTGGAAAACTGTCTGAACGGTGAGCGATGACTGATCTGAAGTGACAAAGCAGATCAACAGCCAAACAAACAAGCAAGTACAAGTTGTTCAGTGAGTGACTTGTTGATATTGGGGGGGGGGAGGACTGCAGTTGTAGCGGAACAAGCCATTAAGCATTAGGGAGAGAGAATGAAGCAGCAATCAAACGGGGGCACTGCCTGCGTCGACTCTCTTGCTTTTAGAGAATCTGAAGACGGAGCAGCGAGTGTTCCAAGTTGCGTGTGATGCGAGGACACGATTGTGAATGAGCGGGAGAGCGAGAGAGCGAGAGAGCGAGAGAGCGTCCCCAACAACGATCGAAGCATGAAGACTGCGCTCTCCCAACCCGACTCTCTCCTCTCAAAGGTAGTCTAGGCCCATCAGAATAGAGATGGAAAGTGGAGATGGAGAGAGATAGATAGGAGGAGGAGGAGGAGGGGTGATCGAGACTGATCCAGAGCAGAGCAGGTGGGTTGCCAGCACGACAACACGGCTCAATGCAAACGCTTCATGATGAGGTTTGTGATTCAGTGATGGAACTTGCTATGAGAGTGAGGGGTGAAGATGAAGATGAAGAAGGGGAAGAGAGAAGAGAGAGTCAAACGAGGAACAACGCTGCAGCAGGAGCGCAGTGTGGAAAGTGAGGCGAGCGAATGAGAGAGAGAGAGAGAGAGAGACAGACAGACAAGCTCCACTCTCAAAGACGCCAAAAGTCAATAAACAGACATTCATACTCGCCAATAATAAGAGCACATGATGGACGACCCCCCCCCCCAAGACACGGAGAGCTGAGCGAGCGAGCGAGAGTGAACGCAAGGAAGGGCGAGCGGAGATCAGTCTGCGAGCAACAACATCACGCCCACAAACCACCACCTTCATCTGAGAGTCCGGCTTGAGTTTCAGTGGAGAGCAGCAGAGGGAGGGAGGTGGGTTTGTGAAGGGGGGAAGGGAGGGGAAGCGGGAAGGGGAAGAAGAGGAGGAGGGGGTTGGTGGGTTGAGCGAAAAAAAAAAAAAAAAAAAAAAAAAAGAGACAGCACAGATGGAAGAACCTCCTCCTTCAACTCACTCAACTCACTCACTCACTCACTCAGTCTCACTCACCAGAAGAGCAGATTCAACAAGACAGAGAGAGAGAGAGAGAGAGAGAGAAACGAGAAACGAGATTCAGAGGTCGAATGCTTGAAAAGAACGATGAAACGAGAACAACGATGATGGAAAAAAAAAAAAAAAAAAAAAAAAAACACTCACGGAAAAAAAAAAAAAAAAAAAAAGAATGAGTGAAAAAGTCATTGATTTTTGACACTTTTTGCTTTTTGGCCACGTTGTTTGTGTTTGTTGTTCTCAGCATTGAAGCATAAAAACAAAGTGAAGACAAGAAAATGCAATTTCAATGATACAAAAGAGAGAAAAAA